TATATATATACAATATTTACTTGTTAATTTGCATGTATTTATACGTAATAGGAATCGCTCTTCAATTTTTGCAATGGTACTCTAGGGGAGTGAAAGGCAGTCTAAAGCGAACACTAGCGGGTTACGTTTGAAGGAAGCATCGCGCATAAATCTATCCTTATCTTCGTTAGGCAATGTAATCAGCGCCCTGGTTGACTCTAAAGCAACGCACATACCTTACAGAAATTCGAAACTGACTCGTCTCCTTCAGGATTCATTAGGAGGAAATTCAAAAACTGTTATGGTAGGAACTTTTAATAATGGAAATGAGATAACAGTAGTTTTGACTGACACTAATAAATGCAGTGCCTTTTTTTAACTGAATTACTTTTTTTCTGTTTCTATTCACATCGTGTTGAACAAATGTAATTTTAAGTGCGCAAATATTGGTCCGGCAGATTACAATTATGACGAAACAATTTCTACCTTACGCTACGCTAACCATGCTAAAAACATCAAGAATGTAGCTCGTATTAATGAAGATCCAAAGGATGCATTGTTAAGGAAATTCCAGCTAGAAATAGAACATCTGCGAAAACTGCTGGATAACGGTTTGTAGTGGCTTTAATGGATATAATTTGGATAATTTAATCTACTAACGTCTCTACTTTGTAAAGACTTGTGAAACCTTAGTGGTTGTTGCAGATGATTCAAGTGGCAGTGGTGAAGAAGAAGGGGGTAGTGAAGAGAATGATATTTCTGATGAGCCGAAAAGACGAAAATCACGTTTAGATGAGCGGATTGAAACTTTAGAAAAGAACATAGAGTCAAAGAAGAAAGAGTTGACTAAGGAAAGGGGACTTGCAGAGGAGGAGCGAGCAGCACTTTCGAAGGAATTGGCTGCTAAAGAGGTTATAGTGGCTTCTCTTTAAATTTCTTTTTCTTATAGATATTTTTGAACGGTTTTCAAATAAATTTGTATGCTTAATAGGCGGAACTTTCTCATGCAAGAAATGAACATGAGCAATTGAGAAACAAATTGAAACAAATCGAAAGGAAACTAATTATTGGTGGAGAAAATATGCTTGAGAAGACTGAAAAGCAGGCACGTTTATTAGAAGAAAGTAATGCAGAGCTAGAACGAGGACGTTTGAATGAGACGCACCTTAGACAGGCACTAGCAGAAAAGAATCAAGAAAGGTGGAGACATATATTTGAAACTACCTTTTTCTCTCTTTTGATTGTTTAGTTCAAGAATGTTCTGTTGTGACAGATAAATTCGGTCCGTTTTTTATTTCCTTTTCTCTGCTTTGTCAGGTTTTTTGATTTCAGGATCGATTTGGAAGAACAGTATAGCTCACTTACTGAAGAGGCAAATGGGAAAACCAAAAAGGTTAAAAAAGTTTGGAATTTATTGAATGCTACTAAACGCGAGTTGGCGGATATGCAGAGCGAACATCAAAGGGAAATGGAAGGATTATTGGATAGCGTGAGGCAATTAAGATCAGAGTTACTATTGCAGTTACTGATCATAGGTAATTTGTATTAATTCTACTTGTTGGAGTCTTACTCAATGTGTTTGGGATTTACTGAATGATATAAAATGTGAGTTTCTTGGCATCCAGTAAATTTTGCAGATTTTGTATTTGGTCATTGTTTGTTTATGCGTTTAGTTAGAAAGAACTATTTCATGCCATTATTTATTATGAAGCTTTTTACCTGCCTGATTTTTTCGCTTCTGTCGTTTTAGAGAATTATGTTCCACCCGAATATTTGGAAATGATTGAAAGATTTGTTTGGTGGAATGAGGAATTAGGAGAATGGCAGCTGAAATGTATCGCTTACACAGGAAACAATATGCGGGCACGTCATCCGTTACCTTCACCACGCTACAAGGTCCTCGTTGCGAACACTGAATTTCTGCAGTCATTCTTTTTCATTTTATTTTAAAAATGCATCTTGCACTGATACAGTTTTTAGCCTGATAATGCTCATGGACGAAACCTTTTTTTATCTTACGCGGATGAGTTGGGATCTTCTGTGACTGTTGACCCGAAGGGTTTGAAAGCAAGGCCCAAATCTAGGAGGAGGTATACTTAACTTTTTGGTTTTAGGCTGGTCTTTTTAAACTGCATCAATTTTTAACGATGAACTTGTCTTTTTTTATAATAATTTAGAACTGGTATATTTTTAGGGATAAGAATGCTGCAAAATTGAGGGTTTTACTTGACTAAATGAATTTTAAAAAAGTATGAATGCCTGGTGAAAGACCAGCAAGTCTTCGCCGCATCTTCATGCACTTCTTTATTACAATAATAAAACATAGGCAGAACTCGGCGTTTTTAACTTCCAAAACTGTTTTCTGGAATGCATTATACATTCTACATTCTTTCATCATTTTTTTGTATAACACGTTTGAAGAAAAATTATAATCATTTTATTGATCTCTAGTTTTTTATCCGCAGTTTCTCATCTTAGATTGCTGAAATTTGTTTTTTGTTTCTTTTACCGAATTTTGTTGTTTTAAAGTTTTGGCGCTTTAGCCTTAAAGGATTTTTATAATATGACTATATTAGCTCATAAGATAGTATTTAATATTGGTACTGATGAAAACTTTTATATATAAGTGTACACATATGTACTTATGTTCACATTTATATTTATATTTGTACATGTATTTATATTTATTTTTATATTTATATTTATATTTATATTTATATTTATATTTATATCTAGTTTATAAATATGCTGCAGTTTTATGTTAAAGTATGATTGTGCTGTATTTGTAGCGGCAGTTATTTAAATATTATTAATCAGTTTTGTTGATTTGTATTTGATAGTTTGTCGTTGTGCTATGTATTATTTAGAAGGTTCTGTTATTATATTTCTAATTTTATAGATCAGTTCCGCTTCAAGCAATGGAAGGGGAGGGAATGAAGCTTTTATCTCCAGTTGAATTAGTTGAGAGCTTATTAGTAAAACTAGGTGGGAATCCTTAGCTTGAAACGATAATATGAAATCTAATATACATATTGCTTTTTTTTTGTGATCTAATAATTGTTTATGTCATCTTTTGGCGTGGTTGCTCGCTTTAAAAGCGGAAGTTTGCTTTTATTTACATGTGTTTATACAGCTAGTCGTCTGATAGTAAATATGAGTCAACGCTGGCAAATGTGTTAATTAATACAGATAAGCTCGATGTAGACAAGTCGAGACGTATGGGATTGAAGTTCGTGATATTCTTTCTGGAATTTAAGGCTACCGCCGACGGATTACATCGTAAGAAACATCGTTACATGGTGGAGTCAGATAGAAGAGTAATTGATTGCTAGCACTTTGAAACTTGTCTGGACTACGATTGCGTGATGTTTTGTTTATACAGACATTCAAGAAAGTTAATTTGGGGATTGGTTCTCAATTTTTTTTTTCTTTTTTTTTTTTTTTTTTTTTTT